ATAGAACAATGTCTCTCGACGGTTACAGATAACATGCAGTTCTAACGAAACAAATTATTAAACCACAGAATGTTTGCCCCCGATTTCCCCAGTAGACCGCTATCATCATCACCTAGTGTGTCTCTATCTCCGAACGACATACATGCGATTTTACATCCTATTCGTTTTGTTTATCACAGTGCGTATCGCTTGATTTGCACATACCTGAGCTGTGACCCGCGTTTCTTTTATTACCACCCGTGTATTTATCAACCCCTTATGACGATTCTGGCGATGCATAAGTATATTTACGACACTTTTCGGCCTACAGAGGAGGGAATTTGGTGTAACCACTACTGACTGTGGGGATAACTTTTATTTGTTTGATTAGCCAGTTGACGGCCGAGGCCATTGACAGTTATATCACAGTGGGGCGCTTGATATCCGATAGATCCCCTTCGTACCTACGAATAAAGTCATCATCGGAGAGGCGTGGGCGTCAGACGGACGTCCGAGAGAAGGACAATCTACCTGCACTGCAGTGGACTATACCTGGCTTGGAAAAGAGCATAATAATTGAGTAAAATTTCTACTCCTCTGCCTTGGCCGTCAGCTAATTCCGACGACTCAGCTGCTCTGGTTTGCCGAGCCCTTGTTCACTAGTGAGAAGCTGTCCAATTTAGCCGCTTACCACAGCACCACTGCGGGCAACGTCGGGATTTTTCGTTTAAAACATGCAGCCCCTGGATAGTTGGGTTAATCTATGTTACGCAGTGGACCAACAAGGCGATAAGGTATTACTTCGTTGATCCCACTCCTAGGTAGAGATAATCTAGCTATCCCTTCACGCACATACCAGACTGTTCAGCTCACAGTCACTCCCATGAGCACGAAACTTGACTTTTTCTTCACCCACAAAACACGTCACACAAAGGCGACCCATCTGACATTGTCTGTACCGTCTAGTAACCGTAGAAACAACTCACGTACTGACAAATCCGCGTGCACGCAAACATATCTACATATAGGAAAACCGAAAACAGACAATACACACAAGTTCGAGCGTGCAGAGACAAGGAAGTCAACTACACCCCACGAGTCCACAGAGAATCACGGAGCACGTGTATATCTGTACTGCAGAGAAAACACGTTCCCGCTGTCACCAAGGTACTGTCACTGACGGTAGGCTCCTCTTTTGACTTGCTCCACATTTTGCATTGAAATTATTTAAATACTCCTTGCAACCCACTACTGTCAAACATATTAACAACTATCCCTAGTACATAAAGCTTCTGAATCATATCACAGCTACCATGACCTGCGCACTAACAACGCCATCTTGAGATCAGAGTGCACATCGACTTGTTGGGACGCAATTCGCTTGTCGGCTTTCGATGCTTACTTCATGGAAAGTGCTCGTGAATACTACAGAGGTTTCAGTATCAGAATCGGAACCCAAACATGAAGCGTACCTAACGACTGGGATGAATCGTATTCAAGAGCCTGGCCCGTAGAGCAGAGCAGAGGAGACCCAAATCGTTGTATGTTTGGTGCTGTACCTTGGAAAAATCGAAACATTCTCAATCCGAGCTACCGCTTATTGACGTCGAAACCAATGGTAAAGTTTTTCACTCAAGTGTTATTATACTTGTGATGTTACATTGCAAAGAAGACATAAACATGAGCGCACCACAAACGCCAACCAACTCAGCCCCAGCGACCCACTCGGCCCCAGCGTCCTCTTCACATCCCCTCATGTCAAGGCAAAACTACGAACAGCCTTTAACCGACTTGGTCCTCACGGTGGAGGATATTCGTCAACTCTTGCACAAGATCGACCTATTCTGCGCGTTGGGGCCCGAAGAGGTTCATCCAAGGATCATGAAGGAAAATTCCTCCACACTGGCAAATCATTTACACATGGTGTTTC